CTACAGATTATGCGAGACGGTCAATAGTAATGCTTCAGTTTAATCCTGAGTTACAATCATATTACATCCTGATAGCGTACAACTTACTGCGTTTCCACTAAATCAATACGCCCCCCTCTCAATTAAGCCCCCTCTCTCCAATAAGCCCCCCCTCAAACATGCCTGAAATAAATAAGCCCCCCGGGGGGCTTAATAGAGAATTTACGGTAACAAGCAAATTAAACAACGTTGTGACAGAAAAAAGGAACAGAACTTGTGTCCCATTTCTAACCTAGTTCCTAAAATTAATTTATATAGAACATTACCTTATCCCAATGAAATACTAAATTTTAAATGATTTTACTAACAGTTGGATCATGTTATTTCTAGTGGTTCTGGTCAGCCTATTAAGTGCATTTCTTCCAAGTGTTTATAGTGATGGTGCAACAAATGGGTACTTCAGTTTTCGAGATACTTCTGTATTAGTTATTGAGCCATCAACAGTAACTCTCAACATTCAAAGAAGAGCAGGAAAGACAGGAACAGTCCTTGTTGTTTGTGAGGTTAGATGTAGCTTCTTACAGATATCTTCTTAGTGGGCTTTCATTTATTAGCCCATGGGTGGTGGTGGGGGGTCAGCAAAAGTAAGCCTTAGGGGCATCAAGCAATGTTTCTGGTATAAACAAGGTTCCTGTATGGGGAGATAAGCATTGCTTGATAATTGGATGACCCTAAAATATCTTCACAGTAAGGTAGGTGAGATAATGGCATTCTCATGTTTTAAGGGCAAATCTTGGGAAAGCTAGGGGGTGGTGGATTGGCTGGCTTGCCACCCTTATTTGGAATTCAATAATAATAATGGTGATGGTAATGATGATGATGATGATGATGACAACGACAACGATGATAATAATATAAAGAATATAGGAAAATCTTAAGATGATGTTATATCATAATAGCCTCCCTGAAATTGTTCTGTATTTACCAATGTACATACTATTTATATAATTCTTTTAAGTAGTATATTATGGAGTATATCCCATAATTGTTGCCCTCAGGCAAGCATGTATATCCAGAAATTTGCAAGGAGTGTGCCCAAAATTAAATGACGTCATCAATAATCCTGACCTGAGTTATTTCTTTCGTTCTTAGATTTATTTTTAGATGTAATCTCATGAAATTTAATCTTGAGTCAGACTAAAGATTTGAGAAACAGAAATCATAAATAAAAAGATATATATATATATATGTCATGTACCACAATAAAAGGCAGTTTGAGGGGGGGGTGGTGTCCGGTGCACCTACACCCACTAGATCCGCTTCTGCATGCATATTCTATGATGTGTCACAAAAAAGATTTCATTCCATGCTATAGAACATTTTGGTGGAATATAATGGGAGCAAGTGGAATGTCAATCAATAACTAAAGGCTCAATAGTCCCTTTCACAGTTCCCTGCGCCCTCTTGAAGGTAGCCGTGCCTTCGCATTGAAGCGAGACGAACGGTGAGCTTGCAATGATATGAACCTTTTTTAAACACCTTGGACAATTATTAACATGTCTCTATTATTGCAAGCTCACCATTCATCTAGCTTCGATTCAAGAGGACACAGGGAACTGTGAAGGAGGCTATTTAAACTTTCCTGAATTGCTATCGGCTGTTTTTATAGCAATTTATGAAAAAATTAATCAATTTCCTTCTGTATGTGCATATACAGTATTGACAAGTCAAATGCATGGATTGGTTTATCAATCATGTCTAGTCTGTATAAGGGATTGCTAAAGGGTGTGTGTGTGAGGGGTGGAAGGGGGGGGGGAAATGCAGTTCACATAATGTTGGACTTCTTAAGAGAGGTGGGCAATTTGTAAATATTCGGGCATGGGGAATCTCTCCCCCCCCCTTCCCTCCCTTTACCCTATTAACTTCATGACTAGGTCCTTAAGAAGTAAATGTGCAAGTATATATGTAAACACTAACTGGTGTTATCAAGTGCATAAGGACTTGATTGGTAAAATGCAAACAAGTATGCTCTTTTTTGTACATTTAATATCTTAATTATTGCTGATTACCATAATCATATATAGTCTAATTCAAAAATTCGTTTACCTCAGCTTTCAGATGCAAATGCAGATTTTGTTGGCTGGAGTGACAATGTGAGGTTTAGTCAAGATGAAGTGATCAAGCCATGTAAATTTACTGTTRAGGAAGACTCTATTCCTGAGGGAAATGAGACATTTGTCGTACAGCTCAAAATTTTAAATGGTGGTGGTGTTGTARAAGAGCCACAAACTGCTAACATCGCAATCCTTGCAAATGATAAGGCTTATGGTGTCATTGGATTCTCACAGGCAAGTGATATACACAATGCTGAATGAATTAACATATGTGATATGTTGTAGGTAACAGCTGAGATGCAAAACGAAATTACATTTACATTGTTATTGTCATCCAATTCCATCTATCGATTACTCTACCTTAATCACTTATTACCTTCATCAATTCACTTTTTTTCCCTCATTCAGTCATATACTTTATTTAATCTTCTTTTTCAATTTCAGGCGTTTAATTCATTAAATTATTCCTTCCTTCCTTCCTTCCTTCCTTCGTTCTAGACATTCATTTTTTAATATTTATATGAATGCCATTCATTACAACATAATGTTGGTATGTACATCTGCTGCATATTACATATTATTTTAATTCCTTCATTAATTTTTATTTCCTCCAGAGAGGACCAATAACGATAAATGAACCAACACCAGTTGCACCAGGACCTGTCAAAATCTCTCTCACACGTTCAGTTTATTCATATGGA